GAGGGAGGGCATGGCCAGACCTGATGTGCGCCTTTGCCTCCAGACACAGACATGTATTATACTATCCATCAATCTGTCCATGTTTTACGTTTAAAAAGTAACCTCATCATCAGAATGAAAGAAAAACCAAACCAGATCCAAACTTTAAAAATCTCAAACTTTGTTGATGTCTCCACAGTTGATTCCTGCGCCAATACACCTTGCCAAAACGGTGCTCGCTGCACGAACCAGCTGAACGGGGGCTTTTTGTGTGACTGTACTGGGACTGGATTCACAGGCTCAACCTGCTCTCAAAGTATGTATGCAAGTAAAACTGCTTTGGAAGCCTATGTAGTTTTCATAAAATGGGGGTAAGGATAAGGGTGGTTTTTCCTCTTTTTACTCCGGACTCTCGCTGCTTGGTTTCGAAAGCGCTGTAATTTCAAGAATGGTGATGTTCGAGAGGATTACAAAGAGAGAGAGTTGCAGTAATCCATGCGAAAGAACACAAAAGATGAATGAGAGTTTTCTACGAGCATTTTTTCAATATGAGCTCACTTTAAACCAAACATGGTTGTTTCCTTAGCTGGTCTTTGCCTCTATAAACAAAGCCAGACCTCGTACTGACCAACATAGAGACTGTCTGAAAAAAACTGAATGAGAAAGAGCATGCGCCAAGTGCAAGAATTTCTGTCTTTGAAGATGACTTCACACTCACTGAGCTCAACAGGGCAATGAAGAAACTGAAGTACCGCAAATCCCCAGGACCAGATAAGATTCACAATGAAATGCTTGTCAACCTCAGTCCCGTTGATAAGGGTTATATTCTCCAGCTGATCAACAAGACGTGGAATGAAAACACCATCCCCAGAGCATGGAGAAACGCCGTCATCACACCCATTCTCAAGAAAGGAAAACCTGCTGAAGAAATGAAAAGCTATCGACCCATTTCACTCACCTCAAGCATCGAGAAACTAGCAGAGAGGATGGTCAACCACCGCCTACACTGGTGGTTAGAAACAACCGGTGCCATGGACAGCAACCGAACAAGATTTTGTGTGATCCAGTGAACAGATAGCCAGCTCTTCAGGCTCAGTCAGAAAGTCCTGATGGCTTCCAGTAAAAGAGACATACAGTTGCAGTATTCGTTGATCTCCAGCAAGCATGTGATAGGGTTTAGAGAAAAGGCCTCTTTTGTGGAAGATGACACAGACAGGAATCCTAGGGAAACTCTACAGATGAGTGAAGACCTTCCTTACAGACAGGACAATCCAGACCAGAATGAACACTGGTGTGTCATCCAAAGCTGTACTGAAGGAAGGCCTACCCCAGGGTTCCTCTCTGAGCTGCACACTCTTCTTTGTTTTAATCAACGACCTGCATGAGACACTGAAATCGGAGAAGGCCCTATATGCCGACGACCTAGCCATCTGGCATTCAAGTAAACAAGCTGGCATCAGTGTACGACTCATAAATGAGGACCTAGAAAGATTTGACAACTCCTGCTGCAAGTTGAAACTAAAAGCGCGGGCAGTGCTGAGGAATATGGTTGGCATCCTCTTGGTTGTGTCCACTCGAAATCCATGTGAACCTGGAACCCGTGGACCTGCGGAGAGAGGCAGCAGTTGCCTATGTGGAGATGAGTGAGCGCTGCAGGAGACGAGACAAAAACCACCCGAACTGAAAGATATTGAACAGAAGTGACCAAAGAAATTAATCTGTGGAAGATCAATACTCGACATAACCACCAAAATAGTAGAAAAACACCACATTTAATGCAATGGAGAAATGCTGAAACCCGTAAGACCAGAACTCCCCCCAAACTCCAACACCAAGAACGCCAACATCAAAACTTCCCTCCTAAAGGAGACAGTGAAAAATGAATGTGACCAAGTAGAACTGCAGACAACAGCTCTCAAAACATTTGACTACTACCTCAGTGATTCAATCCATATAATTTACACTGATGTGTCAGCCTTCAAGGAAACTATTAATGCAAGCTTTGAGGTAAGAAGAGAACATCCTGGCAAGATGTGTGAAGAATTATTTGATGCCTGTGGTATTTTTTTTTTCAAATTAGGAGACAGGCCATTGCGAATGAGGCAGCAATCCTCCACCTGACCAACATTTTCATCATATAATCCAGACAAAATAACAAAATCAAGGACACTGTAATCTTTTCGAACAGAAAATCAGTAGGCCTACTCCAAGTTTTGAAAAACATGAATTACGAAAGCCCAGCCTGCCTATCTGTGTCTCGAACCATTCGGCTAACACCTTCATGCAGACCTATGCCGTCAACCTGACTTTACAGTGGATTCCTGGCCACAGAAACATCCCCGGAGCTGACAGAGCAGACACCCTTGCCAAGAGTGGAGCATCACAAACATAACCTCAAAACCCAGAATTACAACAGACAGTCAAAAACATCATCAAATACAACACCAGGGAACAGTGGCTGAATGGATGGGCAATGGGCAAAACTGGAAGAACTGTTTTTGCACACATGACTGCTCCCAACTCTAAAGATGCACTTCATTCCCTTAGTAGATGAAAACAAGTCACTATCTTTCGCCTGCGAACACAACACATCCCACTGAATTCTTACCTTAACAGGATCCATAAGGATACCCCACCTGACTGCCAGGATGAGACAGTGTCATATCACCTCTTTACCTGCCGTGCACTTAGCGACCTGCGTAATACATACGTACCTGCTTCCCCGAATATCAGAAATATTTTGTACAGTGACAAAACACAGCTGATAAAAACCTGTAAATTCTTTGCCTTATCGACAGGCCGAAGGCTCGAACTCAGCTGGAAGCTGGATTTAAAAAGTAAAGTTAAAGAAGTAAAGCAACGAGCATTCATTCATGATCAGCTCAAAATAAACCAAACTTTGTTGATTGTCTCCACAGCTGATTTCTGTGCCAACATACCTTGTCAAAACGGTGCTCGCTGCACGAACCAGTTCAACACCTTTACGTGTGACTGTACTGGGACTGGATTCACAGGCACAACCTGTTCTCAATGTACATAACAACAGATTCCTTCTTATCTGTCTACCTACCCACCTGCCTACCTACTTACCTACCTGTCCCTCCTACCGTAGGCTCTCGAACTCGCAACCGTAAGGTCGTGGGTTCAAATCCCGTCAGGGACCCAACGTTGTGTCCTTGGGAAAGGCACTTTGCACAAATTTTCCTCACTTCACCCAGGTGGAAATGGGTATCTGGCTATAGACAGTGAACGATCTTATCAGTTGGATAGTGTTTGAGCATGTGAAATCTGCAGCTTACACAGTATGCCGAGAATGTTTCTGAGTGTTCTCAGAGGGTCTGTTGGGGTAATAATAGTTGTAAAGCGCATAGCGCATGCTCTTGAGCATGGATATACGCTATATAAATGCAATTATTATTATTCTTACCTACCTGCCTGCCTGCCTGCCTACCTTACATTAAATCTGTAATTCTAAAATCCCCTTGCAAGCATTGTGATTTCAACCCTGTCCCTAGTTCTCAGTTGTCTTCCTGAATTGACGAACTGATCTCATTTATTACTGAAATCATAAATAATTCTCTAGTGTGTGGATCAGTACCGGATTCGTTTAAAATCGCTCTTGTAAAACCTTTGCTAAAGAAACAAAACTTAGATCAGAATGTCTTAAAGAACTGTAGACCTGTTTCAAATCTACCTTTTTTGTCTAAAATCTTTGAAAAAGTTGTCCTCGAGCAGCTTCATCATCACTTACAAGAGAACAATCTGTTAGAGCCATTCCAGTCTGCCTATCGAGCTAACCACAGTACAGAAACAGCACTTATGTCTTAAAGTCATGAATGACATGCTTACTGACTGTGATTCAGGAAAAGTTGTTCTGCTGAGCCTTTTAGGTCCATCAGTAGCTTTTGATACAATTGACCATCATGTTTTATTGAAGCGATTGGAAGTATCTTTTAGAATATCCGGGACTGCCCTTATCTGGTTTTGTTCTTACCTGTCAAATCGATACCAATCTGTTTTTATTAAAGGGCGTAAGTCATCAGATCATGCTCTTAAGTATGGGGTCCCCCAGGGCTCAGTCCTCGGTCCAGTTTTGTTCACCATTTGTACTCTACCACTTGTCAAAGAAATAGTTACGTATGACTCAAAGTATCATTTCTATGCTGATGATAACCTAATTTATGGTTTTAAAATGTTTACCAACTTAGGTGAACTTGTCCATCGTGCTGAAAATTGTATTGTCTTAGTGAAAAACTGGATGAACAAAAACAGTTGATGTTGAATGTCGATAAAACAGAAGTCCTTCTGGCAGGCAGTGCAAAGTCTGTTAGTGAGGTTGACCACGATCACATGACAATTGGTGATCCAGAAATTGCATTTTCACGAAAGTTAAGAATCTTGGCATCTATTTTGATTCCAGTTTGTCAATGTCGGCTGAAGTTGATCACCTGATCAGCTGCATGTATTTAGAAATAAGAAAAACTATTAAAATATGTCCTCTAATCAATACTAAGTATAATGCTCTACTAGTAACTGGCTTAGTTTTATCAGGACTCGATTATTGTAGGCTTAACTCCTTGTTATCAGGAATATCACTGGAGAAAGTTAAGACTTCATACTGTCCAAAACAAATGCTGCAAGTTTAGTTTTACGGAAAAGAACGCGAGACTCTATTACACCACTTTTACGAACATTTCACTGGCTTCCTGTTGAGAAAAGAATTTGTGTACAAGTTAGCCACCCTATTTCACAAATGTTTAAATGATAATGCGCCATCAGATTGATCAAATCTGTGGAGACTGTACTTTCCAACTGGCAGCTTTACGTTGTCAGCTGACAAAGAGAAATTTCTTTTACTTACCATCTATGAACTTAAAACAATGGGTGAAAGGGCATTTGAATATCAAGGCCCCAAGATCTGGGATGCTTTGCCAAGTACTTTAAGGGACATCAAATCTTTTGATTCATTCAAAAGTCAGTTGAAGTCATTTCTGTTTTTGAATTAATAAGATGAATATTTGGAGACATTTTCTTTTGGTCAGAACACAACGTTTTGTGTTACTGTTGTACGTTGTACTGTATTGTAAAACACTCAGAGCCTGAGTTCTTTAATCGGGGTTGAGCGCTATTTATAAAAGTCATGTATTATTTTTATTATTTATCTGTCTGTCTATCTGTCCATCCGTCTATCTATCTATTCAACTATCTATCTTCGCCTCATGGAAGACATGCATCCTTTCATCTATAGACTCTGGATTAAGTTATCCACCAATTCATGTTTTGTGAAGAAAAAAACAAACAAACATCATATGGGAACAAAGCAAAAACCAAACAAGATCAGCCCAAAATAAACCAAACTTTGTTGATGTCTCCACAGCTGATTTCTGTGCCACAACACCTTGTCAAAACAGTGCTCGCTGCACGAACGAGTTCAACACCTTTGTGTGTGACTGTACTGGGACTGGATTCACCGGCACAACCTGTTCTCAAAGTATGTAAAAAACAGTTTGCATCAGGGATGGCTCGCGCTCATATGATTTTATGCAGTTGCGAGCGCCGTAAAACCCAATACTACTACTACTACAGGGATGGCTCATGGAACTAAGTGAAAAGTGGGCGTGCACGATAGTAAGCTCTCGCAAGCTGAAGATTGTCAAGGGCATTGTAAGTTGGATGATGTATAATTTTCATGTCTTTGGGCTGGTGAAGACCTAATGGCTACCGGACTCGTAATCGTGAGGTTGCTGGGTCGGGGGTTCGAGCCTCGGGTCCGACGTTGTGTCCTTGGGAAAGGCACTTTACACGAAATTTCCTCACTTCACCCAGGTGGTAAGGGGTACCTGGCCATTGACAGCGAAAGATCTTGCCAGTATGTTGGTGTTTTAGCTCCTATTAATGGCTGCTTGCACTGTATGCTTCCCAGGAAGTTGAATTTGTTTCAGAAAGCTCTCAGGTCTGCTAGGGTAATAGTATAGATTGTGAAGCGCATAGAGCTTGTTGTTGAGCGGGGATTTGCGCTATACAAATGCTATCTATTATTATTACTTTCGTTCTATTTATTTGTTTGTCGCTTTGATTTCTAGAACTACATAAATATTAGTAAGCTAAAAAATCCATTAATTCGCTTATCCTGAATAGGAACAAAACGCTGAAATAATAACACTTTTACCTCCCCACTACACACCATTCAAAGTCACAACTCAACAAATGGTGACCTAACTAACTATGCCTCGTTCACCTCGCTCAAGTTCACGGTCACAGGGACAGGGCAAGACCTAGATTTAAAAATAGTGGCAGGACAATGAACCAATCACAATTCACTTGAGCACTCCGCTGGATTGCTCTGGGGCTCACATTTTATGGGCATATAGTGTACAGTCTGAGATTGCATTTAATTTTAGACTGCCTACTGTGGACTATGTTTTGTGGGTGAACATTTGATATGTGCCGTCTTATTAATATTAATGTACCGCCAAACTCACTACAGGTGTCATCATCGCTTGGGTTACCCCAAAGAGCAATGTACAGGCCAGGTTACTATACTGCTGAACACCCTATTAAGTTTAATTATAGCCCGTGGGCTTTGGCAATGCATAGCAGATGTTTTACGGCGCTGTAGACACAGTAATGGCTGTTAAAGCATCATGAGCAAGAACCTTGTATTGTTCAAAGATTTGGCTAGATCTAGTGCTCGTAAGTAGTTATTGGCTTCTTTTATTTTTGGTTCGTGAGTGCTTTACGCAAGAGAACACAACCTTTCTCTATGGACGAACCCCACCTGGATTTCATCTTTTCTGTTTGTCTGCCTGCCTGACTGTCTGTCTGTCTATCTGTCTGTCTGTCTGTCTGTCTGTCTGTCTGTCCGTCCGTCCGTCCGTCCGTCCGTCCGTTCGTCCGTCTGTCTGTCTGTCCGTCCCTCCATCCTTCCATCCATCCATCCATCCATCCATCTATCTATCTATCTATCTATCTATCTGTCCAATTATCATAATCTGTCTATCTATCTATCCATCTATCATAATCTATCTATCTATCCATCTATCATAATCTATCTATCTATCTATCTATCTATCTATCTATCTATCTATCTATCTATCTATCATAATCTGTCTATCTATCTATCCATCTATCATAATCTGTCTATCTATCTATCAATCTATCTATCTATCCATCTGTCTTAATCTGTCTATCTACTTGTATCTGTGGCCATAGTGAAATGGTCAGAGAGCAGAAATCTTGTGTTAAATACAAAAAATGTAATACAAGTAGAAAAAAGTGACTACATGAAATCTATTCACTATGCGACTGTTAGACTGTATGCATCTGTCTATCTATCTATCCATCTGTCTGTCGTTTTTTGTCTATTTGTCTGTCTGTCTGTCTGTCTGTCTGTCTGTCTGTCTGTCTGTCTGTCTGCCTGTCTGTCTGTCTGTCTGTCTGTCTGTCTGTCTATCCCCTCGAGAATACCATCTTCTAGTTTCTCCTTCTCTAAAGTATGAATCCTTTCATTCATTTATTCTGTATTAAATTATCCATCAGTTGGTGATTTATGAAGAAAAAACCACTAAATCACCTCGGAATGAAATAAAAACCAAACAAGATCAGTGCAAAATAAACCAAACAAGATCAGCCCAAAATAAATCAAACTTTGTTGATGTCTCCACAGGGGATTTCTGTGCCACAACACCTTGTCAAAACGGTGCTCGCTGCACGAACCAGTTGAACAGCTTTGTGTGTGACTGTACTGGGACTGGATTCACCGGCCCAACCTGTATTCAAAGTAAGTAGTAACAGATTCCATCTGTGAGTGGTTGGCGGGTGCTCTGGTGTGGTTTGCTTCTTCTTTCCTATCAAACATCTATCGTCCTTATCTCCCCTATTCTTCTTTTTTATGTTTGTTACTCTCTTGCAACCCCTCTAATCTTCTCTCATATAACCTTATGCAGTTGCGAGTGCTGTAAAACCTCTACTAAAACTTTTTTTAAAAAGATTTCATCTTATCTATCTATCTGTCTATCTATCTGTCTATCTATCTATCTATCTATCTATCTATCTATCTATCTATCTATCTATCTATCTATTTATGTATCTATTCTTCTACGCTCTGTCTATCTCTCTGTCTGTCTCTCTGTCTGTGTTTCTCTGCCAGTGCTTACCCTCATCTTTTATGGCATAATTTCTGATACTTTCCGAGGCTACTCATATAATTTCCCCGATCTCAGAGTGTACCACTAAACTTGTTCCATATTCCCAGCCAATGAGTCTATTACTAAAGTTGTTCCATTTCCCCAGCCAATGAGTCTACCACTAAAGTTGTTCCATTTCCCCAGCCCATGAGTCTGCCACTAAAGTTGTTCCATTTCCCCAGCCCATGAGTCTACCACTAAAGTTGTTCCATTTCCCCAGCCCATGAGTCTACCACTAAAGTTGTTCCATTTCCCCAGTCCTTGAGTCTACCACTGAAATTGTTCATTTCCCCAATCTATGAGTCTACCACTGAAATTGTTCATTTCCCCAATCCATGAGTCTACCACTAAAGTTGTTCCATTTCCCCAGCCCATGAGTCTACCACTAAAGTTGTTCCATTTCCCCAGCCCATGAGTCTACCACTAAAGTTGTTCCATTTCCCCAGCCCATGAGTCTACCACTAAAGTTGTTCCATTTCCCCAGTCCTTGAGTCTACCACTGAAATTGTTCATTTCCCCAATCTATGAGTCTACCACTGAAATTGTTCATTTCCCCAATCCATGAGTCTACCACTAAAGTTGTTCCATTTCCCCAGCCCATGAGTCTACCACTAAAGTTGTTCCATTTCCCCAGCCCATGAGTCTACCACTAAAGTTGTTCCATTTCCCCAGTCCTTGAGTCTACCACTGAAGTTGTTCATTTCCCCAATCCATGAGTCTACCACTAAAGTTGTTCCATTTCCCCAGTCCTTGAGTCTACCACTGAAGTTGTTCATTTCCCCAGCCCATGAGTCTACGACTAAAGTTGTTCCATTTCCCCAGCCCATGAGTCTACCACTAAAGTTGTTCCATTTCCCCAATCCACGAGTCTACGACTAAAGTTGTTCCATTTCCCC